GGTAAGATCATTGTTAAAATACTATGCCGTTTGAACGAATCTTTTTGCAGACTTTCACAGCCGGCAAGAAAGGTGGTTCATCCGGTCAGGGTACATCACGCAGTTCGGGTGATTTACAGCAAGCAGATGTATGTCAATTTACTGGGTTCATCCCCTTTTGGAAGTGATGTTTTTTAGCAGCCATCAACATCGAAGCAAAGTAGCTCATCAAATGTCAGTGCGCATTCACTTTCACTCGAAGAGAAAGTGGAGAGGTCATAAAATTTCATTTTTTCATCCAGACGCTTATCCAACCTTGTTTTAGAGCCAAGAGACTGCTAGAGGAGAAAAAGAAAGCAGAAGAAGAAGCTGCGAAGTTGCGTGAGAAGGAACGCGAGCTCGAAAGGATCAACGAGGGAAAACTGGCGCAGGAAGCGCAGAAGAAGCGAGAGGAGCAGGTAAGAAACTGTGGTGTACTCTGGGATCTGAAATTGAGTCCTACGAATTTTAGGCGATTATTGATGCTGCAGCCCAGCGACGTCGTGATAAAATTGAAGCCGAAAAGGAACGTCAAAGGCTGATAGCGCAGATCAAGGCTGATAGGTAAATTCCGGATTTTACTCTTATTTGCTAATCAGTCTGTCGTGAATTCCCCTCCACTGTTTTGTAAAATCATTCTTTTTTAGAGAAGAGCGCGAGTACAGAGAGAGACTTGCAAGACATGCGGATACTGCATCAGCTGGCGACATGCCAGCTCAACCACCACCACCTCCCAAGATGGAGCCCATTCCTAGTGACAGGTGATTCATGACTTTCTCGAAAACTTTAGTTTTTCCTTTTTATCCCTTTGTGGTAATGAGAGTATAATTTTTACGTCACTCGGGTTATCATATGAGTAGTAGGAGTTGGCATTAGGGGTAAGTCGCGAACACCGGATCTCAAATATTATCTTTCCCTGGTAAATAGGGAAGTCGTTTACAACCGAGAAAAATGAGAAAGTACGTTTTTGAAATAAAGAAAATACTGATTTCTCTTTTTTCCGATGAAATGTTTGAGTTATTTCATAATCTGACTATTTCTACGTTGGCAGTGGGGCATATTTATTGAGTTTAGTTGAAGCATAATCAAGCAAATTTAGGTGTCGCGTGCAAGTTCGCCTCCCCGAAGGCGACAACATTGTAGAAGAGTTCTCTTCTAGCGATTGTCTGAACACCCTCATGGAGCTCATCAGACAGGTTAATGATTCCTTTCTTTTTTTTTTCGTTCTTCATCATTTGTTTGTCTTTAGGATGGACGTGTCAGAGGCGCGTTCTCGCTGGCACAAGTTTATCCTAGAAAGGTTTTTACTGAAGAAGAGTTGCAGAAATCATATTTGGAATTGTGTCTTACTCCCTCTTGTACACTTCTTGTAATCCAGGTTAGTTTAGGATTAAGGCAATCTGTTTTTCTCATTGAGATTTTTTAGAAGCATCCCAAGACATCCAACATCATCGCCGCTAGTCCACTTGGAGGTGTATACTCCTTAATATCTATGTTGTTGATCGCTCCACTGCAATATATTTATGGCATCGTTGCAGGATGGTTTGGATGGAATTCAGGTATGTTGTACAAAATTTATGTAGACATTCTGGAAATAGAGAGACTATAGGTTCTGGTTCGTCATCATCATCTAATCAAGCGCATCAAGAACCTAAAAGGCAACGAGAACCTCATGAACCTCATGGTGCAACTGTTCGTAGGGTTAGTTGCTTTTGATGTTACTGTGCAGTCTTGGCTGTTAGAAATGAGGGAAATCATTACCGGGTTTTTATTATCCGCTTCTTCAT